TTTTTTTTTTTCTTTCTGAGACTTTACGTTGCTTTACTTCACCTCTATGATCGGATCAGTAGATACTAAACAGATGTGCCAGCTGCCACAGAACACACTGAGGGCTGTGTTTCATATCTCATCTCCTGTGGTGCCTGGCACTGTGTTATCACAAAGTAACTGCTGTGGTTCCAGTTAACGTAGAAAATGAAAGGCTGATTTGTGTGCTGACACAAAAATACACTTTTACTACAGAAATATTAATGGACAGGGCTTTGCTCCATTGAATTTGGAATCTAGTTATCTCTTTTAGGGCAGTTAGTCTGCTGTGAGTGTTTTGGGTACTATTTTGCTTTGCCCAGTCACTGGTTGCCTGAAGATGTCACTTTTCCACCTTATTATTTAAGGCTGGCTGCTTCTTGTGTCCTTGGGTGCATTTGTCCAACCTCTTTCCTTGAGAATGCGCAACCTACAATTCCTTTCTTCATCTGCCACTGACAGCACCTGGAGCTGACTGGCCAAAGTTCTTCTGTTCTCACCTTTGGGAGGAATCTGTGCTCTGCTATTTACTCAGCAGACTCCAGGTACACAAATGTTCTTGCAAAAGAGAGGATTTCCCTCTGCCCTTCAGGGCAGAGCCTTCTGCTCACCACAATCTCAGGTTCACCAACAGGTGTGACAGAGACCAGCTCTCACATCTTCTCCCAAAGGGCCTTCCCTCTTGGAAGCAGCACAGTTCAGAGATCACTTTAGGTACTGTCCTGGGAGTGCCAAGCTCTAAATTTACCTGTATATCTGCAGACACATCTGGGTAATATGTGAATAGTTCACAGTGCTGTGTCTCCACCTCCTACCTTACCAGAGAGGATACATTTCACACCCGTATGTTCAGCTTTCATAGCAAATTGATGGATGCTACAACTCTTAAAGCTTGAGGGAGAGACAATATTGAGGTTTTGTACGCCCTTTTGATTTGGAATGGAGGTTTGGAACAGGTAATGGGTGATGCTCAGCACGATCCTGGTCACAAGGCTGTGCATTTCTTGTTTACAGAAGGAGATTCAGTCCGTCCAAGAGTCCTTTTGTGGCCACAGCCCAAGACACACCAACACTGCAAGCTCAAAATTGTCTCCCCTCTAGTCTGTTCCTTACATAACGTTTTTTATTCAGCTCATCTCTAGGTCTTTGGTAGTTTGCTTCATATCAGTCTCCCCTCTGCTTATGCTAAAAACAAACGCACATCCTTTCCAAGAAACACTCTGCTTCAGTCACTCAGTTTCTTAACCAACTGTACTTTTGTAACGTGCCCAACTCCCTCCTGTAGCAATTGCAAGTGAATGACTGGTTGAACTTGTGAAGTTCAGGAAAAAGCAGCCCTACTTGTCACACTGCTAGTAGACTCTAATTGCAAATTGCTGCAGGTCTTTCTCTGCAGTTCCTCTGCACTGGCATGGGATTGCTAGGCTCTCTTTTTCACCGAAGTATCTCAAGTATTAATACAAGTACTATTAATACCCCTCTTTCTCTCCTTACCGCTCAGATTTTTTTTCTTGTATTTTTTCCCTCATCTGCTGTGTCGTCTCCGCACAACAATTCAGTTAATCTACAAACAACACTGAGGAAAGCAGAACATTCTCGCTACTGGAGGGGACCAAGTGTGTGGCCTGCCCAGTGGCAAATGCAGGGGAAGCATCTCCGCCCACACCTCCTGCCACACCATGGCGGGGGACTCAGCACCTTTTACCCACATTCAGCAGCTCCGCCGCCCTTCCCTTCCCGCCCCGCCCGGCCGGGACACGGCCCCAGGGGCGGGCAGGGAGGCGGCCGCTCCGCCGGGGACGAGTGTGGGCGGGGACGGCCCCGTCCGCGCCGCCATCTTTGGTGTGGGTGCGGCCCCGGCGTCTAGTGCCGCGGCAGCGCCGCCATGTCGGGCCAGGGCAAAGCGGCGCCTCCATGACGGGTGAGGGCGAAATGGCGGCCGGAAGGGGCGGTCGGCGGCGGCCATTGCTAGCCGGACGGGTCGGGGCGCGGCGGAGGAGGAGGCAACGGCGGCGGCGACGAGGCGGACGCGGCGGGTTTGTGGGGCCGGCCGGGGCCGGGGAGAGCCGGGAGGTGGCCGTGCGGAGGAAGGGGGGTCGCTGGGGGCTGGAGGCAGTGCACAGTCGCGGAGGGAGGGACGGGCTCGCGGCGTGTCTGGGTGGCGCTGTGGAAGATGCCGGGGACAGGGCCAGGACCCCCCGGGATGTGGGAGAGTGGAGGAGGTGTGGGAGTGGCTGGTGTGTGTGGGAAACTGAATCACAGAATCCTTCGGGTTGAGATCCCCCAGCGCAACCCCCCTGCCAAAGCAGAGTCAGCTGGAGCAGGTGACAGAGGAACACATCCAGGTGGGTTTGGGATGTTTTCAGAAGGAGAGACTCGGCGACATCCGTGAGCAGCTGTTCCAGTGCTCTGCCATTCTCAGTTGAAAGGAGTTCTCCTTCATGTTGAGGTGGAACTTCTTGCGTTTTGATTTATGGCTGCTGCTTCTCATCCTGTTGCTGAGTAGCACTGAAGAGAGTCTGGACCACCCTCTTGGCACTCACCTTAGAGACATTTCTATGTATTAATGAGATCTCTCAGTCTTCTCCAGACTAAACAGGCCCAGATGTCACAGTCTCTCCTTATAAAAGAGGTGTTCCAGGGCCATCATCATATTAGTGGATGTCGCTGGACCCTCTCCAGCAGCACCTTGTCTTTTTGCTGAGGAGTCCAGTACTGGACACAACACCCCAGCCATGCCACGCTAGGGCCAGGCAGAGCAGAGGGTTGCCAGTTTTCCCCTTTCTCTTTCCAGGCTTAAGATATTCCTGCTAGGCTTGACCTGAAGCCATGGAAAAATCCACATTAGGCTTGTGGATGGAACACAGTTTGACTGGAGTTCCTGCTGGGGAGTATAAAGTAAAACAGAGCTTTTAAACCTGCCCAGGATTTTTATTTCTGTTGTTCTATGTCTGTACATAAATACAGGTTTGTATGTGTGTAGTGTAGTTTCTGTACTGTAGCAGGAACATCTGGTGGAGGCAGATGTAATAAAGGCTTTGGATTTAGTTGTAAAATGGTAGTAAGTGAGAAGAGAAAATCTAATTCAAGTTCAGTCTATAGAGCTTGTCATCAGAAATCCTTTTTTTTTTTTAAGCAAATACAGAGTAAGTAAAACGATGTTCATTAGCAGAGTAGATCAGCTGTTTTGTGTCTAAAAGGAAATAAATCTGACATTCAGAGAACTGTACATTCATGCTTAGGGTTCTTTACCTCTTCTGTGTGAGAGCACCGGGAGGTGGTGGAGTCCCTGTCCCTGACTGGATGTGGCACTCAGTGCCGTGGTGTGGCTGACAAAGTGGTGTTGCTTCATAAGTTGGTCTCGATCTCAGAGGTTTTTCCTGTTCTAAATGGTTCTATGATTCTGTGAAAGAGAGGGTCTGTGGCCATAAAGAACGAACGGGTTGGGGTCTGGTGTACAGTGTATGAGGAGGTGGTGAGAGGGCAGCTGGAGCTGAAGTGAGTGGTGCCAGGAGGCAGTGGAAGGGGTATTTTGGAAGGGGTATTTTGTCCGTAGACAAGAAGTGTGAAAGGCAGTGGACAGTGGTGGCTTCCTGGAAAAAGATACCTTACAGGATCCCCATATGTACTGTTTCAATAACTCACTTAGAAATAATCTTTATACTATTTTGCATATGATGAGGGGCAATGCCAAGCTGAGATGCTTGTGAAATGCTGAGATTTGGCAAAGCTTCATCTTCAAAATGCAATGGCCTTCTTGCTTTCAGTAGAACTGCTTAATTAAAGCAGATAAGAAATGGACAGTTCAGTTCGTACCCCCTAGTTTGACTATAAATGCCATTATAGGCTTAAATGGAACAAGTCAGGTTTTACTGGTATGGTCTACACTTCATTCACTTCTGGTTTCATTCAGTGTAGAGGCTGGCGCAGCATCAGTGACTGGCAGAAGAATGCTGCTCACGACTAGTGAAGATTTAATTGGTTCTATTTTTCATCTCCAGCTGCTCCATTTGTGTATCCTTGGAGGATACACTTGTAATTTTGCTCAATAATATTTTAGGGAGCTACAGGAAATACTGTTCAGACGTGAGAAAAGCCTGTTTTAATGTTGAGGGTGATCAAGTGCTGGAGAGGCTGCCCAGAGCCATGGCTTATTTTCTGTGCCTGGAGATGCTCAGGCTGCCTGGACAGGGCCCTTGGCAATCTGTTTTGGCTGAGCATGCTTCTGGCAGGAGCACAAGGCAGGTGACCTCCAGTCCTCCCTTCCAGCCTCAGCTGGTCTGTGGTTCTCTATTAGTCCAGACCTTTTCAGACTGCATTGAGCTAGGAATGGGTTCTCTTCAAACATGTCTGCATCTCTCTTGGTACACAGGAAAGCTTTTGGAATGGGTCTTTTCAGGCCTTTGCTCCAAGTTGCTTTTCAGTTCCGTAGGATTTGTGAGCTCTCTAAGTACAGGGCTCATTTATTTCCAGGGTGTTGCTGCCCTCAGCTTCAACTGGCTTTGTGTGTAGATTCAGTAGGAATAGTTTGGTTGTTGTGCAGTGAACTGGTGCCACATACTGTCTCAGTTGTTTGCTAAAGTCTAACCTGCTTCATTTTTGTTAATGCAGAAAAGCAGAGAGTGAACCTGGATGAAGGTTTTTTTGTGAAGAGTGTGATAAGGTACAGTGCTTCCATTTTAATGTTAAAAGGCAGTGGTTATTTTCCCCATCAACTTTTTGCTTGCAGTGCTGATCCTGCTGGTGTCTTTTACAGCTTTATGTTGGACCAGAATGTGTGAGTCAGTGCAGGCTGGCACAAATTCCCAGTCAGAACACAAGGAGTAGATTTGTTTCCATTACCTTACTACTTATGGGATCCCCAAAGCAGCACCTGGGCAGAGGTGCAGTAACAGAGATGTGGGCACCCTTAAACCCAGGCTGTGCCAGAGGATCACTGGCTTATCAAGGATTATTCCCAGCTGCAAATCACTTGAGTGATTTACAGTCCTCCCTACCAGTCTTCGGCTTTTAATCCATTCCTCCCAACAAATATTTTTCAAAATCTTTTGAGTTCCATGATCTACTCTGTTTTGGGCATCTTGTTACCATGATGGGTCAGCAGGTTAAGAACCCAAAATCAAATTGGGCACGTGGATGTGTATTTTGTGTTTTTTAATAGTGTTCTTTAATGTTCAGGAAGAGTTTGGAGAAGGTGGGAATCTGTATGCTTTGGCCACCATGTCTGGAATTGGCAATAAACGAACAGCTGGAGAGCCTGGCCCTTCTGCACCTCCAGAGAAGAAGGCAGGGGTTGAAGATTCAGGCACCACTGTGGAGACCATTAAACTTGGTGGCGTTTCTTCAACGGTATGTGTTCCTTGCATACCTGCACTCCATCTTTTGGTTGTTTTTTTTTTTTTCATCTGGAGGCAAGAATGTCTCTGGGGTCAGTAGGAGCCCTTCTGTGACCTGCCCTATGTGCTATGTGCCTGTGCCCAGGAGGAGCTGGACATCCGGACCCTGCAGACCAAGAACCGGAAGCTTGCAGAGATGCTTGACCAGCGGCAGGCCATTGAAGATGAGCTGCGGGAGCACATTGAGAAGCTGGAGCGTCGGCAGGCCACCGACGATGCCTCTCTGCTGATCATCAATCGATACTGGAATCAGGTTGGTAACAGCTTTTGTTACTTCGTATGCACTGTTGTCTTGTCTTTCATGAGTAACTCCACTCCTCTTGTTCACATCCTTTCTTTATCTTGTCTTGCCTTGTCTGTACAATCATTCAGTTTGATGAAAATATCCGCATCATCCTTAAACGCTTTGACCTGGACCAAGGCCTTGGAGACCTTTTGTCTGAAAGAAAAGCACTGGTGGTGCCAGAACCTGAACCAGACTCTGACAGTAATCAGGAGCGCAAAGATGAGAGGGAACGAGGTGAGGCACCAGTCTGGGGACAGTGGGAAAGATGGATTTCAGCCGTGGACAATGTTGATGTCCATTTCTAAAGTCTGACAGAGACTATTTTTTGTGATTGTTAAGATCAGTGATATGCTACCTTGTAGAACACATTTACTTTTTTTCACCTCTTTATGTTCCCAGGGGAAGGACTGGAGCCAGCATTCTCCTTCCTGGCCACTCTAGCCAGCAGTACCAGTGAGGAGATAGAATCTCAGCTGCAGGAGCGTGTGGAGTCCTCCCGCCGTGCTGTTGCCCAAATAGTGACAATGTATGACAAGCTGCAGGAGAAGGTGGATGTGCTGTCTCACAAGCTGAACAGTGGAGGTATGGCCAAGGTGGCAGGTATTCAAGAGTGCTTATCTGCTGCCACCTTAAACCTGATCCTGCATTGTAAAAATTAAGGTGTAGTCCTTCTCGTGCATTTATTTTGTAAAATGAATTCTTTTGGCTTTCTAAACTCTTGTTGTCAAAACCTGCACTAAAGGACCATGTGCCGGAAGTGCATTGTCGCTACCTCTGTACTTGAATGCGGAAGGCTCTGCCCAGCATGTTGGGCTAAGAAGCAGCTTGTTTCTGCCAGTACTGTGTTCATGTGCCTGCGAAGTCAGAGCACAGTTGAACCTTATCAGCCAGCTGTCCTCAGCCACCACATAAAAAGCTTTATACTTACAAGTAAAGAAGTGAAATCAGCATTCCAAACTGATGATGGACTCCTCCTTTGCAGTTTAGTAGAAGGTGTAGGAATAAGCAAGTGCTCAGTTTCCACTGAGTTCTGAGCAAAATTGTACCCATCTAATGGCGTGATGTGCTTAGTGTAGCTGTCAGTTTTGAATGGAGCAGAGTTCTGCAGAGAAAGCCAAAAGACCAGCTTCTAAAAATTAATGTAGCAGATTCACTTCACACTCAGATGACTGCTCAAAAAACTTAATTAGCTTAAAGTTAGAATTTTCAATCTTTTGAATGAAACCTTGGGTGGAATATCGGGTCATGCGTGGTGTGCTTTCTGTGTACTCTGACCAAGTTGGCATTGGTGTAGGGAAGTGTGAGGTTTCGGGGGGACCTCCAGGAGGGTAATAACTTCTCACACGGGGCACCAAATCTGAGGTTTCTGGGAACCTCCGGGTGCCTCCTGTGCACCCACACTGTCGGGCTAGTTCTTCTATTGTTTAATAGTTGCTGTAAAGTTATTTATTGCAGAAGCACATCAGTCTCAAAAGCAAATACAAAGCAAGGCAGAGCGATGGCAAAGCTGCAGTGGCAAAATGCAACGGCAAAATGCAATGGCATAAAGCCATGGCATAGAGCCCCAGCTCTCCCTGATGCATGTTCTTTTATAGAAACTTTCCAACCAGCTAAGACACAAACTCGGACCACTACTTCTTAACCTATTAGAATTCCGGTTTCTTAGCACGCCAGACTACGTATAGACTACGTTCATGGCCTGTCTTGTTCTAACTGAAAAATGTAAGCAATATTCTTAACTCTATTATGTCTGAAGCGAGGTTCTTGGAGCCTCTAAGAAAACACTAGCATGTTTTTCAACCTTCACTAGAACATGTACTATTTCTCAGGCATTTAAGACCTTTTGCTTACTAAAAGCACTTAAAACTTATTCCATTTACTTACTTATTTTCTCTCTCTTATGTTACAACCTAAGTCTTCACCTCTGCCTTTTAAGTGAGAGGCCTAATATACTTCAATCCATCTAAAGGTTTCAACTCAATACCTGCATTCTGATCTCTCCCTGAAGGATTCAGAGAAACTCCTGACTTACTGACTCCAACAGGAAGTGTTGCTGTCCTTGGCTGGCAGTCATAAACTGTAGTAGCTTTGACATTGGTGCCATGTGAGCCTGCCCTCAGGTACTCTAGTTTCACCTGTCACCCGGGTGCTGTGGTTGTCACAGGATGTCCTGGTTTGTTGGCCTGGTGTGTCATCTCAGGCCACCTGTTGTAACAGGTTTATGGATTAATTTGGGCAGCATTTGGGTGTCCCTGGGTTCCAAGGGCATGCTCTGGCTTGCTGGTGCTGACACAGCTGAAGTGCTTTCTGGTGTGAGGGAATGGCCCTCAGGTCAGAAATGTGCAGCACTGTTAAACGGCAGAGCCTTTTGCTTATGGAGTGCAAGTCAAAGATCTCTGTGGATGGAGGTCAGGCCCTCAGGAAGCACCTGTGGGAGTGGTACAGTAAACTGAAGTTAATTTCAGAAATTTCCTTTTCTATTTTCTTTTTTCTTTATTTGCTGTTCAGGAATTAAAACCAGTGTTCCTTGATTTTCATTAATTTCCTTTTCTTTGTGTACCTTTCAGATATTTCACTGATGGAAGAAGCAGTAGTGGAGCTGAACTCCTACCTGTCACATGAGAATGGACGGCTGCAGGAACTGGCTGATGTTCTTCAGGAGAAGCACAGAGTCATGTCTCAAGAGGTACAAAAAGGAAGGAGAAAGATATCTACTTAGGGGTCCTGCTTGGCATAAGTTATGGTTACCATAGTTTGGAAAGCAGCTTATTTCCTTGGAGAGACACAAGAGAAATGTGGTTTGAATGTTACAAAAAGGATTGTTGTTGTAGAGAGCTGTACATAGATTTTCTGTATAAATCAGATTGATTTGCTTGTTACATCACTAAAGGAAAGGATATAAACAAGTTAGTGATTTGAATGGATTTAACTTCTAAAGCAAAGGAAGAGCAGAGGAGCTGGGGGCACGTGGTGCTGAGGTGGCTGTGTAGACACCTGGAATGGTTGAGGTGACATCCCTGTCATTCTGAATTCCTTGGTTTCTCTGTGTCGTTTAACAGTGGAATAATACCAGTTACAAGATGATCCCAGTTATTAAAGGATTCACATTATTAACAGCATTTGTGTGAGAGATTTCAGTTCATTTAAAAATTGTGTTAATGCTGGTCTTGCTCAGTGTTAGACCTCTGAGCATTTAAGTGGTCTGTAGATGGACATAGGGATTGAAAATATTAAAATCCAAAAAGGCTTTGAATAAGCTGAGGTGGCTGCCTCTATTCTGCCAGATATTACCAGCTTCCCACTCTTTCTCGATTTTTAGTTTTGTCTTATTTTTGTTGCTGTCTTGGGATTTGGCCAGTGTAAAATTCAGGACAGTTCATAGAATAGCCTGTCATCACAGCAAAAAAGCACATGATGAATAAGAGAAAAATGACTCCTGAGCAGCCTCAGGAAAAGCTGATTCTATGCAATGTGCTGGCTGAAGCACTTCTTTGATTGCAGTTCTCCAAGCTGCAAGAGAGAGTGGAGACAGCAGAATCCCGGGTGTCTGTCCTGGAGACCATGATTGATGACCTTCAGTGGGACATTGACAAGATCCGCAAGAGGGAGCAGAGGCTCAACCGGCACCTGGCCGACGTCCTGGAGCGAGTAAGGGCTGCCCTGCTGGCCAGGACACCTGGGAAGTGGGGTGGTGTTGGATGGGGGTGGGACATCCTCTGGGACTCTGTGGGACTGTGAGAGCTGAGAACCTGCAGTGGGTCTTGGATCTGCTGTATCACTGCTGCCAGTGTTTCGCTGGGTCTTGAGGAAATCTCTTGCATTTTTTTGCAGGTAAATTCCAAAGGCTACAAGGTGTATGGAGCTGGTAGCAGCCTCTATGGGGGAACAATTACCATTAATGCCCGCAAGGTAAGGTCAGGAGCTTGGCTGTGGGCAAGGGGAAGAATAAAGTTGGGGAGAACATGGGTCACAGTTTGAACAGAATTTAGATACTTTTTTTAAATCCTGTGCCACAAATCTGGGTGACTATGGGCCTGGGCAAGCCATTTTGTCTGTGTACGAGTTTTGTACTTAAGAAACACCTGGTGGAATTAGACTCTGTCTCACTTAGTCACTTAGAATTAGACTCTGTCTCACTTGCTCAGTCTGTAATTGCTGTTACTGCATGAACAGATAGTTCATTAGTACTCTCAGGAAACACATTAACAGTAGGATTTACAAGCAGTTTATCCCAACAGTTTGAGGAGATGAATGCAGAGCTGGAAGAGAATAAAGAGCTTGCTGGGAATCGCCTTAATGAATTGGAGGAACTACGTCAGGATCTTGAGGAAGTAACAACACAGAATGAAAAGCTCAAGGTGAGACATCTGTAGCTATGTGAGGATGAAGGTGTTCTGCATGATGGGCTGCCCTCAGCTTTGCAGTGCTGTGTCTACAGAAAACCTCATGAGCAGTGTCTGTTCTGAGCCTGCTCTTCAGCTGTGGTGCACTGTGCTGGAGGTACAATTCAGCCGCTCTGCGGCTCCACTTGCAGTTCAGTGCGTTGGTGACACCGTGTGGCCGTAGCTGGAAACTGTAATGGTTTCCTGCCCGTGTCCCCTTCTGATCTTTGAGTCCATTTTAACCATGTCTGGCCAGAACCGTTTTCACCTCTTTACACGAAGTGATCCCTCTTCCACCTTCCCCTCGCCCTGTGCATGTGGAACCAGAGAACAGAAACAATCAGGGAATTTGTGTGGGGAGAGAGGCTCTTGAAAGAGTCAATGAATTTAATGTCTTTCCCAGTATGGGGAATGGATAGATAGGAAACAGCGTGTGTATTTGTGATGTTTTAAAGGTGCTAACACAAGAAGATGTAACTCTGTGGTAGATAAGCATATGGTGGGGAGAATAATCAAATTGTCATCTTGGGGTCAGTGCAAGTTATAAGAAATGTCAGTCTTGATAGCCTAAATCCAGAGATCTGATACTGGGAACTGTCTTGAGGCACCTCTGAATTCTGTTTATCTGCAAGCGTTTGGTTAGAGAGAAATAGTCTTTAGCTTACAATATTTTTTTTCCCCCCTAATTACTTTTAAGCTGAATGCATGTATTTATGTGTCTGTTTCACTGCAGTCATTTAGTCACAATCATTTGCTAACTTTTTTCTGGGAATTCAGTTCTGTGCCTCTGGAGTTTTTTTTCCATTTCTCTTTCTATCAGTCATTATGTCTTACTGGGAGAAGACTAACATAATGCCTACTTGCACATGCATTTTCTCTGTTCTCTCGTGCTGTTCTATGTGTCCATCTTTATTGATCTGGATGATTACGCTTTGTTATGTTTTCCAAGCTTATATCTTTGAAAGAAACTATTTCAGGACCCAGGAATCAAGAACTTCCATCATGTGGTTGTGCAAGAGAAGCAGCCTTGTTCGTGCAGAGAACACAGAGTTTTTAAAACTGGTACTGAAGCATATCACTTGGACCTACTTCAATACTATTGAAGTTCTGGTTTTGTCTTTGTTTGTGGCAGCTTGATTCACTGTTCTTCTGTCTTGAGAGACCAAATGTAAGGGGGTAATTTTTGTGGCGTTGTCTTATGTCCTAACTAGGTTGAGCTGCGACGAGCAGTGGAAGAGGCTGTGAAGGAGACTCCAGAATATCGCTGCATGCAGTCCCAGTTCTCTGTTTTGTATAACGAGAGTCTCCAGCTGAAGGCACACCTTGACGAGGCCCGCACGCTGCTCCATGGCACCCGCGCCACACACCAGCGCCAGGTGGAGCTGATTGAGGTAACACCTCTGCTCCATCAGCCTAGGGATCCTATCTTGCCACTGACCATTACTGCTGGGTCTGACATTACTACTGTGTGCCTCTGCAAATGCTCAGAAAATTTACATTTCTGGCAATAATTCAGGCTGTTGTGGTACCTTGTCTTGATAAAAGATACTCCAGGTTCAAAGCATCAAGTTCTGTTTCCTTCTTGTTTCTCAGAGGGATGAGGTCAGCCTTCACAAGAAGCTACGCACTGAAGTGATTCAGCTGGAGGACACCCTGGCACAAGTCCGCAAAGAATATGAGATGTTGAGGATAGAGTTTGAACAGACACTTGCTGCCAATGAGCAAGCAGGTATGGTGGTGTTCTGCTGTGCCTAAAAATAAACACCACCTACCCACCAATGCCCATTAGGGGCTAAACTGCACTAGAACACCTGAGTTGATTCTTTGTTACTGTTAAATACTTGTTCTGGCAGGTCTCCTCAAAAAGCAAAGCTCTTCACTTGTTTTATTGGGCTGCCAGTTCCATGTTATCTAACTTCTTTCTAGATGCTGCATAATAAATACATTTTGCTAACAATTTAGTTTATGCAGGATATTTTTCATTATTAAAAATTATTTGTGGGGGGAGGATTCATTTCCAAGTCTGTAAAGATAATCTCTATAGCAAAGCAGTAAGTCTTAAATTTCATCAGAGGAAATAAATTACTTCTGAAGTAGCATGTAAATCAGATTTCTTTTGCAACATGACACATTTCCCTTAGGGTATAAAAATAATGTTAAGTGGGAACTTAAGACTTTGAATTTGCAGGGACTTACAGTTGCATGTAAAACTGGCATGACTTTCTTTCTGCAAGTGCTTCGTGTTGCTCTGTTGTGTGGCAGAATGGTAGCAGTCTTATTTTGTTCTTTGTCATTGTCACTTAGCTTGTTCTCTAGTTCCATGAAAGTCCTCAGGAAGGTTGACACAAGTGTGGTTTGTTACAGAGGTGTTTCTGTTTTGCAGGCCCAATTAATCGGGAGATGCGTCACCTCATCAGCAGCCTCCAGAATCACAACCACCAGCTGAAGGGAGAGGTGTTGAGATACAAGCGCAAACTGAGAGAGGCCCAGTCTGACCTGAGCAAGGTAATACAGCAGGAAGTGCCAGGAAAGAGGGGAAAGGCTTAGGAGGAGGGGTAATGCTGTCGCCCTTGCCAGCAATATCAACCTTTCTGAGATGCTGTGCAGGATGCAGTGCAATTTTCTCTGCAACTCTGCTGCTTCCTTTGACCGAATGAATGCTCTTCCTTTGTAGCTGTGTAGTGCTCCGTGAAAAGGGGGCATGGGAGCATGGATCTGGGAAGACAAGGGAGAAGGGGGTAAGGAAGACTCCTGTCTCAGAAGTGAAACGTTTGTTTTCTTGGTCATCTCTTTTGCTGTTCCACGCCAGATCCGCTCTCGCAGTGGCAGTGCCCTCCTCCAGTCCCAGTCCAGCACCGAAGACTCAAAGGAGGAACCTGCAGAGATCAAGCAGGAGCCTGATGATCCTTCTGCCCAAGTGTCTGTTGCCAAGGCTGGTTCTGAAGATGTTAATGAAATGAAGGCCAGGCGAGATGAAGAGGAACGGGAGCGGGAGAGACGGGAAAGGGAGAGGGAGCGAGAGAAGGAAAAGGAGAAGGAGAAAGAGAGAGAACGAGAAAAAGAGAAAGAGAAGGAAAAGGAACGAGAGCGAGAAAAGCAGAAGCAGAAGGAATCTGAGAAAGAGAGAGAGTCCAAAGAGAAGGAGAAAGGGAAGCATGAAGATGGAAGAAAGAAGGAGGCTGAGGTGATCAAGCAGCTGAAGGCTGAGCTCAAGTAAGAGTTGTTGTTCCTCCCTTTCCTGTGGGAACAGAGCCCAAGCCTGGGGTATTCGCATGTTCTTTCTTTCATGGGATCAGCATCACTGAAGTTTGGAGCCAAGAGAGTTTCTTGACAGCCTCTGTATCTGATTGTGATGTGGTCAGTGTAGGAGTCTTTTTGCTACAATAGCCTAAAGCTAGAATTACCAGACCATATACTTCATCTTGTGGTTCCAGTACTGTTGATTTGTTGGTGTCATAACAATAGCATAAAAATTCACAGTAGCAGGTTATTAATAGAGAACACAGCAGTGTTCCCACTCCTGGATGGTTCCCAAAGCAGAGCTGGATAGTTTGTAGCTTATTATTAGGATACGTATTTCATCTCCACCTCTCTTCTTGCCTTTCAGCCTGTATGCCTGAACATGTTTCTTTTCCAGCCTGTATTTTTCCAGCTGCTGTTTTATGTTACCAGAATAAAATGAGCCACCAACTCCATATCCATGTGGGAGATTGAGAGAATATTGCCAGATTCTTGTGCTGGCTGTGTAACAGTGTGGCTTTGCTGCTATGTTGTCACCGTGATCTGTCTTCCTTTCTCCAGGAAGGCCCAAGAGAGCCAGAAGGAGATGAAGCTGTTACTAGACATGTACCGCTCTGCCCCCAAAGAGCAGAGAGACAAAGTGCAGCTGATGGCAGCTGAGAAGAAGGCAAAAGCTGAGGTATTTCTATTTTCTCTTCTATATTTCTTTTTACTGTATTACTTAAACTTCTTTTCAGATACTCTGCAGCAGAACTGTGTTGTTTCCTCAGAACTGAGGATTGTTAGCCTTTTCGTCTTGGTCACTTAGAGATTAGAATGGTCTGGAGATAAACAGGGACTAGTTGCAAGTACAGGGACACACACACACAACAATCTCTGGGTTCCTTAGTGCAGACCCTTTTGCACATCCCTTAAGTTACAGCACGTCCCTTTCTTTGAGACCCCTGTGGTTCCAAGCCCCTCTTAACCTTCTTCACAAGCACGTCTCACCTATAGGCAGCATTTACTCTGCACACGCATATGTGGAGTAAAGAGTTAGATTACACACCAATGCTTAAGAAAATGTGTAGTAAAAAGAAACAAGAAGATAGGACAGGACAGGATGTGATGGTCTTGTGCAAGGCTGAGCAAGACAAATATGTACTGACTGCCCATATTTTCCATGGGCCTGGCTCCTTATATACCCTTCTCTGTCCAACTCGAATTCATTCATCCTTGATCTCCATTTCCCTGCACATTGCTTCTGGGTTTGAACAGCTCTTGATTCTCACAGCTCAGGAGCTCTCCCAGTTCAGGAGCCGTTCCTGGTTTACAGTGTCATCAGTTACAAAGTCCGAGTTGATCTTCCTGGAAGTAGTTCCTATAGTTTCTTGGAAGCCTCTTAGGTGTTATGACTGGAGACATTTGCTTCCTCTTTGTCTGTATGTTTGTTTTGTCAGGTTTGTGTCTCTGTATATCTTGTTTTGGGTTTTCTCCTCCCACGCTCAGATAACCTTGATGAAAATAAACATTTTCACACTCGCATGTGTTCTCATCAGTTAGTGTGACTGACTAGGTTTCATTCTCATCACTTCCTCTCTTATAATTTGTCCGCCAAGTTTGTGTCTCTGTATGTTTTATCTTACCTCATCCTTTTCTTAACTTCTCCTTGTGTGGAAAAAGGTCCTTGACCAGATGCCCTTAAAGGAGCAGATGCTCTTTTTCCATATACCCATACATGTACAATTGCAAGAGACTGATGCTCCTATTCTGATAAAAGATGCTGTGAAATTTTCAAAGGTGTGGAAGTCAAAATCTTGGGCTTACAGCCCATCTCAGTGGTACATCTGCCTGTAATACTCTGCCAAAATTATATGGGAGTTTTTTGCCATGCTTTCAGGGCAGTCCTGAGTGTTTTAAAGAATTTTGGAGTAAACAGGCTCTTAACAATGCTCAGGGCACATCCTTGTGTTTAGTGTCTTTTCTGGTTGGTTCTTGTAGCTTGAAGAACTGAGGCAGAGGGTGAAAGAATTGGAAGACAAGGAAAAAAAGGAGAGTAAAAAGATGGCTGATGAGGACGCCCTCCGCAAGATCCGAGCAGTGGAGGAACAGATTGAATATTTACAGAAGAAACTTGCCATGGCTAAGCAGGTGAGAAGTTTCTGATGAGTTCTCTTTCTTGGCTGCAGCAACTGTTAAGGAACTGCTTTCAAGTTATGTCCAGGGAGGGAGAAGGAATTTATATCTGTATCGGCCAGAGATGGGAGTTTGATTATTGTTTACCAAAAGGAAAGAAAACAAGCAAAATACCCACCAACAAAATAACCCCCTCCACCCTCAGCTCCGGGGTACCACAGGCAGTCCATGGTAGGAAATGTTTAATAACAATTAAACATTAAATATACAATTAAACATGTGACCTTGGTGAAGCACACAGAGGAGAAATGGCTTTATCAGCCATTAGGGGAAGAGATTACAATTTCTTTTTAGGAGTTACCTCCTCGATTCATCTAGTAAATATGTTTGCATAGAACTGGTACATACCTTCTGCTAAAAAAAGGCTCTATCTAGTAAGAGAGCAGGACCTCAGCAGGGTGGAGGCAAGCCTTTGAATTTTCATGTACTTTTTTGGAATTCAGATTCTTTTTAGCAGAGCTGCTCTACCTTGTCAATGCTGAAGTGGCCAAAGTGAGTTTAAGGAGCTTGGCAGCGTGTTAGTTGGAAGCTGCTAAGCTGTCCACGTGTAGAATTTTTGGCCTGGTGTATCTGGCAGCTATTCAGCTTCTGGGAATTGGGTGCTGATTTCTGCCCCAGCTCTGGCAATGGCTGTGTCATAGCTGATCCTGCCAGACAAGAGATAGGCGACCCATTGAGAGTATCTCTGCTGTAGTGGAGATTTGTAGGGAATATGTTTTTCTGGTTGTTCAGATAATAATGTTCCCTGGCACCAAGAATCTTCCTCCATCTTCACTAGGTTTGGTGTCTCTGAGTAAAATGTTTAGGCTCACTGTGGGGGATCCGGTTTGGCCAGAGCCTGTGATTCTTTTGCAGGAGGAAGAGGCCCTGCTTTCAGAAATGGATGTCACAGGCCAAGCCTTTGAAGACATGCAAGAGCAGAACATCCGCCTGATGCAGCAGCTGCGGGAGAAGGATGATGCCAATTTCAAGCTGATGTCAGAACGTATCAAGTCTAACCAGATCCATAAGCTGCTGAAGGAGGAAAAGGAGGAGCTGGCAGACCAAGTTTTGACACTGAAAACACAGGTAATAACGGAAAAAGGAGAGAGGACAAGAGAGCTGGTGGGTTATCTGTCTTAGGCAGCTGTACACGACTCTTTGCTTGCTCCCCCGCTTGAGGGGAAGGGAAAAGAATCAGAATGGACAAAGTGAGAAAATGGGTGAGATGAAATAAAGGCAGTTTAACAGTTAAAGCAAAGATGTCCATACAAGTGAAACAATAAATTAATTAATTCATTATTTCCTGGGGCAGGCAGGAGTTTGGTCATCTCCAGGAAGGCAGGGCTTCATCATATATTTTTGTTACTTAATAAATGCTGCAGCTCTGAACATCTTCCCGCTTGCTCCTTTCCACCTGCTGTTATTGCTGAGCACAGCATTGTAGGGTATGGAACACCCCCTGATCCAGCTGGATCAGCTGTCCTGGCTGTGTGGCATCCCAGCTTCTTGCACACCCTCAGCCTACTTGCTGGTGGGCAGCATGAGACACAGAAGGTCTTGGCGCTCTGTAAGTACTGCTCAGCAACAGCTGAAACAGTGCTGTGCTACTGACTGTTTTCCTCCGAAATGCAAAACATAGCAGCATGTGAGCTGCTCTGAAGAGAGTTAACTATCCTCACCAAAATCAGTCCAGGACGGAATGTTCTCTCGCCATCCTAGGAATGCATCAGGCTTCAAAGGGGCCCATCTTTGTAAGAAAGAGACTGCTGTATGAGCATTAAAATGTCCTATGGGTTCACTGCTATGGAGAGCAGATGGGTGTTTGTCCTGTTGGAATGATACTTCTACCTGTATATTCTACCTATACCTGTATATATTAGTAACAAGCAGGAGGAGTTGGAAACCGCGGTTCAGTCTGAACTGTCTCAGACATGGGCACAGACTGGGAGAAGAGGTCACTGAGAACACTGGAACAGAGAAAGACTTGTGGATTCTGGCAGATTAGAGGCTGGACATGACCCAGCAGCGCATGCTGAGAGCCCAGAAAGCGAACTGCATCCTGGGCTGCATCCAAAGCAGCATGGGCAGCAGGCTGAGGGACGGGATTCTGCCCCTCTGCTCTGCCCTCCTGAGACCCCAGCTGCAGTGCTGCATCCAGCTCTGGGTTCTCCAGCACGGGAAAGACACATGGACCCGTTTGAGGAAGTACAGAGGAGCCTGTAAAGATTATGAGAAGAAATGAGCACCTCTGCTACTGGGGAGACGTCATTGCAGCCTTCCAGTACCTGAAGGGAGCTTAGAAGAAAGAGGGAGAGGAACTTCTTATACGAGCATATAGTGACAGGACAAGAGGCAGTGGTTTTAAACTGAAAGAGGGCAAGCTTAGATAAGATATTAGGAAGAAATTCTTTACTCAGAAGGTGGTAAGGCACTGCTAGAGTTGCCCAAAGAAGTTGTGGATGCTCCATGCCTTGAAGTGTTCAATGCCAGGCTTGGATGGGGCTTTGACAAATGTGCCCTAGTGGAAGTTAGGGAGGCTGGGACTTGATGATCTTTAAGATCTCTGCCAATCCAGGCCATTCTATGACTCTGTATCCTGTCATCCTTGGAACCACTGTGGGACTGTTCACTCCCTTGCAGCAAGTCTTTAAGCCACTGTTGAAGAATTAAGACATCTTTATTGCAAATAATTTGACTGCTACGTTTTAAAGTGTTGCCCAGAGAGGTCTGGGTAGGGCTCTCTGGATAGAGGCACAGCTGTTCAGGGACAAAAAGGCAAGCTGAAGATGTGCTTCCTGGTGATAGGGAAGCAGGATAGTTTTAGTCTGCAGCTTGAATGACAGCTCTGAAGAACCACAGAGCATGCATTCATTCCTTCAGTACCTCCTATCTCCCTTTCTAAGGTGGATGCCCAGCTGCAGGTTGTACGTAAGCTGGAGGAGAAGGAACACTTACTGCAGAGCAGTATTGGAACAGGAGAGAAGGAGCTGGGTCTGCGAACACAGGCCCTGGAAATGAACAAACGCAAGGTGAGTGATGCATTTGTTTCCTCTTGTGTTGTGAGGTGGAGCTGCTGCCTTGTGGGAGACATAGAAGGCTCTGAGCTCTCATTGGCATTACAGAACCTGGTATTCCCTGGTTTTGGAAAAGTATATCAGAAGGCTGAGGAGTCCTGGAAAGAATTATGATTAAACTACTAGATACTAATGTTTTCCTTGGATAAGGAGAAGCAGATCATACGGGTTTCTGTGAAACGTATGGTGAAGAGACAGCAGCAAGATGAAGTTAATTGGGGTCAAAACTTTTGGAGGAAAGATGGGATGATAAGCAAAAGGAAAATACAGCTGGAGAATGTGAACACTTTTAAAAAATGCCCAAGATCAATTAAGTAGGTGTGATACCGTAAAATAAGACTAAGTCTTATAGCTGATGCTGCCTTTGTTGTTAAGTTTTAGTAGAAATGCAGAAATTACATTAAAACAGGCAGAAAGGAAAGCAGGAATACCACTGTGAAGAGGAGCTGGGGAGAATTCAGCAATGTCACCTGTGCTTAGTACAGTGTTATTAATACAATTAGTGGTATTAAGGGCATTTGGTTATAAAGTTAGAAGAGAATGGTGAAGAGAAGATTGTTAGGTATCTTGAAGTTCTCTCTAGCTCAGCAATAGAACTGCCTCTAAACAACAGAGAAAACGTGGAAGCTGAAAGGCTAAAAATGCATTAAGAAGAGAAATGGATGATCCTTAGGGTTTTTCTAGGTGATGCGCTTTGCAGTGTGCCAAGGTTTGCCCAAAGGAATCTTGAAGCTAAATGATGAACTTGGTGATGATAATAAGGCAATAACAAGGGACTAGAAATCACCAGAGCTGTTCTTCTGTGTTTGGTCTTTATATCCTTGTTTTCTTTCTCAGGCCATGGATGCAGCCCAGCTTGCAGATGATCTGAAGGCGCAGCTAGAGCTGGCTCAGAAGAAATTACATGATTTTCAGGAAGAGATTGTGGAAAACAGAGTAACCAGAGAGAAAGAGATGTTCAACTTCAAAAGGGCTGAGGTATATATCCTATGCAGTCCTTCAAGATCTGTATGCTTTAGTGTACTTCTTGTGCATCGAGCTTGCAGAGGATTTCAGCTAAACTGCCCTTGGTATCCAGTTTCACTTAGATTTTGGCTTCATCAGGTCTTGGCTCTTTGAGATTTTGTCCACTGGTAACTGACAATACTTTTGGCATCAGATGATCATGTTGTCCCTTCGATTATAGGGGATGAAACTGTGGGTGGCATGACTTAGCCAGGTGCATGTTCTCTTTGGTCCCTGAAGAAGCTGACAGAGAATGTACTGCTCCTTGATCTCTTGTTTTTATGCAGGAAGATATTTCTAGGTTGCGCAGGAAGCTGGAGACCACAAAGAAGCCTGACATGGTTCCCAACTGTGATGAGATTCTCATGGAGGAAATCAAGGATTACAAGGTGAGTATCTGTGTCCATTAGCTTCTTTTTTTTACTTTAGTCAGAAGGTGTGTAGACACACTTTCAATATCTGACATTTCTTGTGTGTACTCTGGCACTGAAGAAACCACATTGTCTCTCTGAGGAATGGAAGGACCTTCATCTTGAGACATCTCTGAGCACAGCA